GCTAAGCTTGAGGACCCCATGCTCCCAGGCCTCCTGGAATAGCACCTCACTCAGGACAGAGAAAGCCCTGCACAGGGGCCCCATCCTTCCCTCAGGACCCCAGGCCAAGCGTGGCAGGATGCTCCCAAGATGAAGCTCACTTTACACCACGGGGGCTCAGTGGCTTCCAGTGCCCAGGAACCCGACCCGCAAGGTGCTCTCAATGCCAGGGCTTCTCTCCTTCACCGAGATCCCGATTCCACAGGACCATGCAAGGGTGAGCAGTGGAGCCCATGCAGGGGAGCCCAAGTCTTGAGCTGATGGTGTTTCAGTTACTTTCCTTCTTGCTGGGACAAATCCCAGCACGACTTCAAGGAGGAGGAGTTTATTTGCTCATGGTTTGAGTGCATCGCCTCCATGGTTGGCTGATTCTAAGGCAGATGCAGCACGGTGGAAGGGCCTGGCAGAGGACAGCTGCTCCCCTCATGGCAGCCAGGAAGCAGAGAAAGGGAAGGAGCCAGGGAGAGAGAGACACACCGTTCCAGGCCGCACCCAAGTGACCACATCCACCAGCCCCACCTCCCAGCAGCACATTCAGCCACGAACTCATCCATGGATGAATCCACTGATGGGCAGTGCCCCCATGGCCCAGACATGCTCCACACACGAGACCTCAGGGCAACATTTTTTATCTGAACCATACAGATGGTCACCTGGCCTGAGCTCCCACCTCCGTGTGACATCAAGTAGCTGCTATGGTTTTCTGACAACTGACAGCAGCAGGATCTGGATGTATCTGAGGGACATCCTCTTGCAGAATGCCTCTCTGCTCTGATAAAACTGCTCTGAGGAAGCACGCTGGCTACTAGCACGGCAGCTGTCACTTCCTGTGGCCCCAGCCAGAGCCTGCTGGTCACGGGGCTCTCTGACACGGATCACCCAGAGCTGCCCAGAGAGATCCCATGAGCGGGCATCCTGGGCTGGTGCCAGTGGCTGCTTCACCTGCTCCCTCCAAAGTGGAACTTGGCACTGTCCTCCCTGACACCAGTCCCTGCGCTGGGAGCTGCCAGGTGCCTGATGCGCACACGGCTCGCGCTCCCTCTGATGTGGGCGCTGTGCAGAAGTGACGGCCTGGGGAGGCGGGGCGATGCCAACACGCCCCGGCCAGAGCTCCAGTTTCCAGCAGTTTAAGCCCCACACCGCGCCTGGATCCATCCTGGAGCCCACAGGCTCCGGGCTGCAGAGAGTGCGCAAACTCCGAGTTTCATCTTCTCCTGGGCTTGTGCACCTGGGAGTGGAGGGCCCCTCGCCGCTCTCGAAGGCAGCTGGAGCACCCCATGTGGTACACACAACAGGGGACCTGGGGCAGAGAGAGGTGCTGGGGCGGGGAGCAAGGCTGTGGATCACAACAAACTGCTGGAAACACACAGATGTCACCGGAAGGACCACCTGGAGTCTGCCCTCCCCCCAGATCTTGGCAAGGTCCCCCCTGGGCTGGCCCCTGCAGCACCTGCCGGAAGACCCATGGGGGGACGGCTGGCCTTCCACGGTGGGTAGAAGGGTTTCATCACCCTAAAACAACCTGGGCCCCTTAGCTGCACTCCCCATGCTAGTGCCCACACCCTCCTGTCCAGATCTGCTGCGCCTGCAGTTTCACACCCACAGTCCTCCGCGCAAGCCCTGGCATGGTGCGGCTGGATGGTGCGGGCTGGGGGATGAAAGTGCCACCGCGTGTGCCCAGGTGTGGGCAGGCTCGCTCTCCAGCCGGCGTAACGCACACAGCTGGGAACCTCCGCACAGGTTCCGTGGGACACCGCCTTCCTCTAGCTCCGGTGCGGGCCTGGGACCCCGCTGGGCCTGGAATCGCGGTCATGCGCTGATGCCATGTCTGAGCCCTTACAGGGCAGGGCGGGGCCTCCTCCCAGTCCGTGGGATTTCTTCGTCTGCCTGGTCTAGGTCGATGCTGTTTTGTTTCTTAACTTTGATAAGTCCAACATATCTACTTTTTCTCTTCTTGTTACTTCTTTAGGCATCATGTGTTCCCCTAAACACAAGGTCACGAAGATTCAGCTGCTTCTTCCAAGAGGCTGACAGCTCTGAGTCTTAACTTCTTGGTCTTTGATCCATCCTGGATCCATCTTTGGTCCATCCTTGCCGGGCAAGGTGTGAGCCAGGCTGGTTTGCTTTGAATTTCTTTCCCAGACAGCTTTCAGCTGATGGACTCACGCAGGGGCACAGGGGCACAGTACTGGGGACTGGTCATCCAAAATGCTTCAGGTCAAAGACAAGGACAGGGAGGTAGGAGCCCAGGAGGTTCCTGCTCACCACCAGCATCCTCTTTCCACAAGGGAAGCTTTTCTGGTGAGCTCCTCTTCATCCCTCAGTACCCTACTCAAATGCTCCCTTGCCAGGGTCAGGCAGGAAGTGTCTTCACTTCAGTGCCCATGGCACTGCAGTTCTGTGGGTCAGGGACTTTGAGAGTCGATCTTCCTTCCACCCCGCCAGCTATGAGCCTTATTCTAAAGAATACATGAATTAAGTCATTTATGCACAGCTAAGAAACCAACAAACCAGGGGTAAACAGGTCCACAGAGCTGACCTGCTCTGGCTCCTCTTGCTGTTGTACTTGCCAAGCCCCCGGGGCCAGCACAAACTACTGCGATTAGATCTGCTCGGGTCCAGCTCGGCCCAACCTGATGTAAGCAGACACTGTCGCGTGCGCACGGGGAAATTTATGATGCACACAGAGAAGAAACAGAAGAGCAGAAATTAAATCAGACGGCGGCCTGGAGAATGCCCACTGCGCAGAAAACGCGAGCTGACTAGTTGGTTTGGCCTCCCTGGAAGACAGTGAGGTTTTAATTTGGGTCTCTGGGACCCGGCTCCTGAGAAGTCCAGAGCCCTGGGAGAGGGGGGTACAGCTCCAGATGAGCAGACCCAGACTCAATCAGCAGCTGGTCCGCCAGCTCCAGCGAGGGGGCAGAGGCTCACTGGGGCCCACCCAGGCGGTGGGCTGGGCCTGCATGGACCCCAAGGGGGTGCCGGGATGGAGGCGTCGTGTGAAGTTCCTGGGAAGCCAGGTGCACGCCCACCCAATGTTTAAGGGACACCAGGTTGTATGTGGCCCCTATGGACAGGTGTGGGTGTTTAGGGGACGGCTGGCTTGGGTGCACTGACAGACGGCTTCAGGGAGGTCAGGTACTGCCCGGCAGCCCAGCCCCTGTCCAGGCCATCCACACACAGACCCTCAGGGTTGGTCGCCTGCCGCTTGTCCCCAGCTGGCAGGGCTCCGGTGTACGAGGTTTCCAGGTGGTTCCAGGCCATGATCTGGTGACACTGGGAAGGATCTTCTCCCTCCCATCCCCAGCTCCGAGCTCTGCCCATCTCCGCCTGGCCGGGGCCCACCGCGGATGACCCCCAAAGTGACAGCGGCGCTCCTGCCCTGCGTGGCCTCCCTCACTGCCACCGAGCCCCGAGCTCAGCCATCTGACGACTCCTCCTCCAACCTGCGCCGTCTGTCTGGGCTCAGGGTCCCCGCGCCACAGACGCGCGGCAGAGAAAGTGGGGTCTGAGCGCGGATGTGGGGCGGGGGCAGGATGTGAACCCAAGGATCTGGAGCCGCCCACAGGCCCTGGGAGAGAGAACGGCCCCAGACCAGAACGAGGAAGTGCAGGCTCTGTGTCAGCGCTGGGCAGCACTGCCCTGGCCTGCCTGGACCACATCTCCCCGCCACCCTCAGTCCCTGCCAGCCTGGGTGCAGGAGGCCAAGGTCGCCACTGCCCTGAAGGCCACCCCAGAGGCAGACAGGCCGCCAGGCCAGGGATGGAACTCCACTGCAACGGCAGGACACTCGCCACCCTGCTGCTGCCCTTTTATAGCCTGTCTCCCCCAGCACCCCCAGCTTGGACCCCAGTCCTGGCTCCGGCCCTCAGAACCTCCACCTCCACCCAAGCCCAGCCACACCATCGCCCGCCCTCCCGCCTCCCCTCAGGGCTGGGGAGACACTTCCACGCCTGGCCAAGGCCACTCCATGCCCTGCGCGGGGTGCCTCACCCCAAGGCCACCTGGACTGACACACACTGTTACTGCTGGTGAGGCACACAGGGCACCCAGGGTCCCTGCCAGCTCTGGTCACAGGCCCCAGGGTAGGCTCTGATGCCCGACCTGACATCACCCCAGGCCTGACCCAGCCTTGGTGCTGGTCGCAGCCTCTTCTTGCTGACCCCACCATGGCCGGATGAGGCCCTGGCTCTGCGGTTCCTGCTCTCCGGCTGCAGCCCCTGCCGGTCTGGTCAGCACTGCTCACAGCCGAGCCAGCGGCCAGCCGCCCTTCCTCCCTCAGAGACCCCCGGGGCTCCATTTCCCAAGGCAGGTCTCAGGGCAACTCCCATGGCACCCACACAGCGAGGGCTGGAGCCGAGCAGCTCTATTGGCATCCCAGGGGCTTCCTGGAAGGGCCCCGCCACTGCAGAGCGGAGTCTGGGTGCCCCTCCCCGGGGCCCACAGGGCGAAGACCTGATGTCACCACCAAACTCCGGGCAATGGAGCCTGAGCCCAGCCAGACCCAGGGCGAGGCCCACATTCTTACTGGCAGCCTGGGCCGGAGCCGCGTGCAGCAGAGGTCAGGGGCACTGGGGACCTTGGTCCTGTGACTGGGGACTGTGACAATGGGACACCTCCCTTGTCCCCCCTCTCCTACAGTGAGGCTGGCGGGCCCAGCTGCAGGCCACAACCCCGTACCCAGTGAGTGTGACAGGGATTGCCACCTGGCCAGAGGCTGGGTCCCTGCCACCAGGGGATCTGGGAGCCATACACCGTAAGACGCCTGTGCTCCTGGGTGCGTGTCACGCTGCCCATGGGGACAATCACCCTCATGTGCTGGCCCGAGGCCAAGGCTGTGCAGCCGGAGCCTGAGCTGGGGTGCACTTCCAGGCCCCAGCCTCGGAAGACGTAGGGCCGGCTCGCAGGGGGACACTCAGGGTCTCCCACCCTACTTGCGCAGCACTGTGGCCGGCTCTTACCGTCCACGCAGGCGGGCCGCGCCCTCGTGGTCCCCGCAATCTGCCCCTTTCTGCATGCGCAGCGAGCTGTCTGCCGGGCGATTGTCCTCCGCGGCTGACTGCTGTCCCGGTCCAGGGTCACAATCTCACAGGTGCCGGCGGCCAGCTGACCTGCAAGAGAGAGGTAACGTGTGGTGAGCTGCGTGGCCGCAGCTGCAGCTCCTCAGCCCAAGGCCTGGACGAGCAGGGCAGGGAGGACGCCCTGCAGAGAGTGCGCGGCACAGCCCGAGCGGCCCACCACGACCAGCTCTGCAGGCGCCCTGCTTTGGGGCAGCGTTCGCTTGGCAGACAGGAAATTAAAGGAGGCCCCAGCTCAGCACTGCCGGAAATGAAAGGGCCAGATCACGGAGGAGGAGACAGCCGGCCCTCCCCCCACTCCAGGCTCCAGTGGAAGGGACCTGAATGCAGGGCGCAGGCACTCCTCAGCCTCGGTCCCCATGCCAGCACTCTGCCCGCACAGTAGGGGGCAGAAAAGGCCATGGCGCCAGGGAGGACCCAGCTGTGCTCATCCGCACCAGGAGGCCCAGGTTCCTCCTCCGCCTTCCAGAAGGCCCGTGTGCCCCCACACGGCGACATGCAATGGTGGGGATATGGAGCCCAGCTGCACACAGGCACAGGTGGGACCCGCCACGTGCCCGGGAGTGGACAGAGCAGACACTGGTAGAGGGGCCACCGGTGTACACAGAGCACAGTCTGCAGGGGCTCACACACCCGTGCAGACACCCAGGCACACCCGACTGGCCATCGAGGGTGCAGAGAAGGGGCAGGTTCCCTCCCAAGGTGGTATTCCTGGCACTCCTCAGCCCTCATCTCCCGGCACAGGAGGATGCACTCTGCCACAGGCGTCAGCATCCCAGGAGCACGCGGGCAACCACCAGGAAATTCCAGCAGGAACTAAGCCCCTCTACTGTAAATCCTCCTCTGTAGGTGCGTGTGCCCGGCCACCACCACCAAGCGCCGAGAGTCACACTGACCCATAAAGACGGAGCCTCGAGGGAGGGCGGGCTGTAAAGATGAGAGACTGGCGGCTTGTGGGAGGACGGGGTGTCCTTCACCTTGCAGGCGAGGTCCGGGCGTTTGTCCCTGCCGGGGAGCACGGAACCCTGAGCACACAGACCTGTGGCCCTCGCCTGCGTCAGTCCTGGACTCCAAGGCCGCACTCCCCCACAGCCTCACTTTCACTTACTCAGCTGACGGTGGGCGCCGACTGCAAGCTGCTCACTGAGCAGGGCACCTGGGGACTCCCGCTGCCTTGGGGGGGCCACATGTGGGCACCGGGATAGGGCTTGCGGTCACGCTGAAGCTCAGCACAGGACAATGTGGAGGCCACGCCAGGGAGGAGCCCAGGGTCCATCCCCATCCACCACTCTGCTCCTGCCACCATGGATGTCCTCGTGCGGACAGCCAGCACCTGTGCATACCTGCCTTACTGTCCCCCAGGCAGCCCAGGCCTGGCTGCAGTAGGACTCTCCCATGCCAGCAGGAGGTAGCAGGCAGTGGACACCCAGGTCTTGCAGCCTAGCACTGCCCTTGCGGTGCCCTTGTCTGGGTGACTCGGGAGGCCCCGGGTGCCTTCAGTGGCCCTGGACATGCCCAGCCCAGCTCCCTCTGCCTTTGATGGAGCTGTCCACGGTGGACGGAGCCAGCGGCCCAGAGCCTGTGCCTGACCAGTGTGCTACAGGCAGGTGACACACATTCGGAGGACGGGCAGGACGATAAGGGCTGCCCAGCAGACCCTCCCACAAAGACAAACTCCAGTTCCACCAGCGCCACCACCCCTCACACTGTGGAGTTGGACTCTCCCTACCAAACTGGACCCAAAATTATATTCTGGCCAAGGAGCAGGCAAAACAACACATACATCAGCATGTGGATCCATGAATCCACTAGGAGGAAGGTGGGGACCACGAGGGATGCCTGGCCTGGCTGGCGGCACAGACCACAGAGCAGGCGCACGGTGTATGTTAACATGCTGTATCTCCCGCCGCACATCCACCAGCGCAACCTGCAGACCAGTGCCACGCAGGCCCCATCCGTACCAAGGTGCCAACTTTGGCTCTGTAGGTTGGTTCAGGGCCACTCTACTGTCCCTGCCCATCTGGACCCCAGACCGCTCAGCAGAGTGTCACCATATCCACTCAGGGCCAGCTGCCTCCTCTGAGATGGCACAGGCCTGGGCAGCCCATCATAGTGATGGGGAAAGTAGGCACTTCCAGGATGGTGCTGCTGGGGACGCTGGCCATCTGCCCCTCGGGCTGGTCATTAAGGAACCATCTGACACTGCATCCATGCACAAATGACCAGCAGCTTAGTGTCCCTGGACACCTGGGCCAGTAGATGGCCTCCACAGTCTATGTCTGGTGGGTGGGTATCTTTCCATGGAGCCCTCAGGTGCTGTGATGGGACTGGCCCATGGACCAGGGGATCCTGGACCCAAACTGCCATGTGCCTCAGAGGAGGTGTCCTGGACAAGTGCCAGTTTCCTGTTAAAGTGCCACAGACCTAGTGGCTTAACCAGACATCTCTTCTCCCCCGTCCCGGAGACCATGGTCTGAAATCAGCAGGACTATGTCCCCTGGACACCGTGGAATGGTGGCCAGCAATCCCTGTGCCCTTTGTCTGCAGCAGCATCAGCCGATCTCTCTGCTGTCACCTGGCCTTCTCTCCAGTGTCCCTCCTTACAAGGACACCGGTCACCCTGGAGGAGGGCCCACATTGACTCCTGTGACCGACGATGTCTGCAGAGACCCTGTCCCCACACCCGCAGTACCTGGGATAACACGCCAACACACCTTCCTGGGGCCCAACTGCACCTGTGCCACAGAGAAAACCAACGTCTGAAGACACAGCCAGGCCCCGCTGGAACCCAGCCGGGACGTCCACCCGCCGAGTGCGCCTCACGGTGCCTGTCTGTCTGCGGAACAGAAAGTGTCCCCAGGTCACTGATCTATCACCAGCTTACAAGAGCCCAGGGATTCGTCCCGGGCCTTCTGAGCAGCCCGCTGTCAGTCTGCCCCCACCCCCACACCCTCCTGCCCCACACTCCCACCTCCACCATTTCCTATCTGGGCCACCGCTGGCACATCCCTCCAACCCTCCTTGTGTGGCACTGTGACCGTCCTGCCTGGCTGGGCTGCACCAGGACAGTGGACACTGAGGAGCCCAGGGACAAACCCAGAGCCACACTCCTGCTGTCCACGGGGCATGCCTGGCTGCCATGGACATGGCACTTCGGACCCAGTGATAACAACACCTGCAAACAGGATGCCTCCGGGAGGGGCTCAGAGGGGAGCACTGGCCAAGGTGGAGTCCAGGGCAGGGCACAGCCACAAGGCCCACACAGAGGCCTGGGGAAACCAAGGCACCGGGGATGGGAGGCAGCAGACGTCCCAAGACACCTGGTACACGTGCTCATGCCACCGGGAGACGTGTCCAGCAGGCCACGCACTGGGATGTGGCACCAGATACAGCCAGGGGAGAGGTCCATTGCCCAGGACATGGGAAGGGAAGGAGGGGACGGGTGGGGACTGCTGCTGGGCTGCAGGAGGGTACTGGACAGGGGTACGGAGGGGCCGACAGGCTTCACAGTGCAGGGGCAGCAGCCTGTCTCACCACAGTCTGCTCCGAGCACACGAAGCAGTCACTGGGCAGGAGGGAACGCCCCTGAAGAGCGCTCGCCTGGGTCTGCCCGCCAAGCTGAGCAGCGGGGTGCAGCCAGGAAAAGGCAGCCCCTTCTTAGGGGACCCTGAGGGCCTGGGGCCAGGGCCAGATGCCCAGCATGGCGCTCCAGTAGCCTCACGGACGGGCTCCCTGCGTCTGAGGCCTGTCCAGAAGGAACTCTGAGACCGTGGTGGGTGGTGCGCGCGGAGCACGGCATACGTGTGTGAGGGGTGGAGATGCACACGCCCGGGGCGGTCTCTTCCTGGAGAGCAGTGCAGCAGCACAGCCGTGCAGCGATGGTCGGAGGGTATGGGTGAAGGGGCGGGGAGGAGCTCGTCACCCCGAGGGCTGCAGGTCTGCTCAGGGCACCCGGGTGTGATGCAGAACTCCTTCAGGGACCTGCCTGTGTCCCTAACCCGGCCTTGGGACACCCTTCCCGCAATCGATGTGACATCCACTGTTCTAAGGGAGCTGGGAACTGCTGGACTCGCTGCCCACTGCTGCTGCCACCCAGGTGGGAGTGCCAGGCTGGCACCATGGCTCCTCAGCCAGGTGCATGGACCCCCAGGGCTCACGTGTCAGATGGGTGAACCGCCCACAGGGTGCCGTGCCCTACAGTGACACAACTGCCCATGTACGACCTGGACAGATGCCCACAACCCTGTTAGGTGGACGAATACCTCCTTCCTTATAGGTGCAGTGGCCCACAGTGACGCCACAGCTCCGGTCTGGAGTGGGTGGGTGAGAGTCCACCCCTAGGCAGAGCAGGCATGGCACTTATCCCTGGTCCTGGCCGGTGAACAGGAGAAGCCTTCTCCCCAAGGAGGGGTGGACAATCTGGTACAGAGACGCTCTGACTCTGGATCCCAGTGACAGCCCCTCCCTGGCTGATGTCCTGATATCTGCAAGGAAATGTGCTGGGCAGGAGCCCTCTGCCTCTCTCTGGTCCTGTCCTGGGCCCCAGGACTGTCCCTAGCCATCGGGGGTGGCCTGTCCCCTGAAGCCCTGCCCAGAGGTGCAGCCCATGGGGGCTGAGACGAGTGGCCTGGCTGTGAGTGTGGATGGAGGGGGCTCTGCAGGACCAGGCCATCACGTCCTTCATGAGCATCAAGGCCCGCGGGCACCTCCATGCCTGCTCTGACGCCAGCTCTGCCCTGCAGTGTGGCGCAGCTGTGTAATAAACCCGCACACACCTGCCCGCTGGCCTGCCTGTGCTCACACCAAACCTGGTCATCCCGGGGCAGGGGTGACACGCTGTCGGGGGCCACCAAGAGCCCCAAACCACTTCAGGCCGAGAGCCTGCGTCAGCCCTATCCTGGCACTGGGCACTGCAAGCCAGGAGGGGCCCTGGGCTGCACGGGACTGGAGGGCCACACCGAGTTCCCCGCCACCCTGCAAAGCCAGCACTGCACCCGCGCCATTTCTACAGATTTTATAGGAACAGCTCGCTG